TATAAAAAGAATAAGTATCAATTTGGTTTATATTTTTGTGAATATGTATATATTTTTGGATGCGTTTTGTGGATGGAAATCATCTGAAATAAATTCCCTCGATTATTTATTGATTTTCTATGTTTTAAGGCTAAAAAATGTATATCTAATTTTTTTATTAAGTTGAATGTAGATCCCATACTTTACATCTTTTGAAGTACAATAAGGGAGTCATTTTTCACCTCTTTTCCTATGAAGGCTGTCCCCATGTTTGGTAGAATATCTCAGAGCTGTAATGAAGCCTGTGACTACCTGCAGATCTAATAAATACACTGCAAAAATTATCTATATATAAGTCAAGAAGGTCTTAAATTAAGTATATTTGCCCATAATTTGAGTAGGTAAATTAGATAATTTACCAATGGAATTAGTATTTTGACACCCTAAAATAAGATATTTAGATAAAATGCACTTGAAATAGGACACAGCATTTATTTTTTAAATGTAAATTGTCTTGTTCCATTGGCAAAATGTCTCGTTTACCTCCTCAATCCAAGAAGAAATGCACTTATTTTAAGAAAAAAAAAGTTCAATTTTTTCCAGTATATAAACTCATCAAATTGTCTGGAAAATTTAACCTGTAATTCCCTCCAAGCAGAAGCAGACTTTTGTGCTATTCTGTTACTGGTTTATTTGAAGTTGCTCCAAATCCACCATTAAAACTAAGTAATGTTGTCAAGCATACACATTAATGTTACAAATAATAACTTGCAGAGCATATGAAGTAATACCGGTAGTTACAACGTAAATAAATAAAATACCTCGTTGGCTGCATGCTGCAAGGAAAAAGGGAATTACCCAAAAAATCTTAAAGATTATATTTCCATAAATGTAAACGTTGTTAGCATTGACCTAGCAAGAATCCTCCATAACTGATTGATTGTTTCTTCTGTGAGAGCTCAAACGATACCTTCTTAGACTTCAAAATAAAAGCATATTTATTATGTACTTGATAATTTAATATAAAACAAATGCAAATTAAATAAATTCTAATCAGACAATTACCTTCGAAAAAGGAAAAGAAATGATAGAACTATTATGCACAATAAGCATAAATGCAACGATTAAATATGCTCTCATTTAAATGATCAAACCAGCATGGACTAAACCATATATGATATAAACTCTGCTTTTTTATGTTTACCTCTAAGTTAAATCCCCCCCAATGATCCACTCTGTCCTACAATCTGCTGTAAACCGTCTGATAATCGTTCAGGATGACATGCAACCATAAAACTCTTATCTTTATTGAGATCTAAACAAATCTCCAGATGGATTTTAAGATGTTCTGTGCATGAGACCCGTCTGTTAGGAAAATCACCGCAGTCCTTGCGTGAATACGATGAAAACTGTACTCGGTCAGAGGGCGTCCTTTTCTCACGTAAGGTTCCGAGTCGTTCAGCTGTTGTCTTTTGTGTTTTATAGTTAGAGTCTAATCATTGACAGAGGTGAAGGTGGGTCAGGTCTGCGCTTCAGGTGAGGCTCCACCCTTATGAACTGACGGCTGATGTACTATTACTTTATTGCCGTCTGACGGTACTTTCTGCTTTCTAAGGCATCGTTACCAAAGAATGCAGATGTTCTGCTTTAAGATCCTTATGATTTAATCATCCTCATTTACTTTGTTTAAACCCTATAAATGTATTTAATGTTTCATCTCAACTGTACTAATGTTATAACTGCTGCTGTTTGGTCAAAGAGCAGCAGGTTTTTATAGGGAACGTGAGCTGATGGTCCAACAGTTCTTTTCATTTATATATTTTTTTCTGTCTCATTATATTCTGTCAGGTTAAACTGAGATTAAATCATAATAAAAAATTTCTTTTACACAAACTAGTTTATGCAGGGGAAGGCTTTAGGTATTTAACTCCCATAATTCTGGTTTTATAATCATCACAGATGGCAGATTTATATCCATTTACTTCTTTTACTACATGTTCTTCCCCCTGAAGTTATCTGCTGAATAACCTTTATACAGCATTAGAAAAAACCTTGTAAAAATGTTTAAACATGCAGACTGATGCGCGGGTAGCAGGACTCAGTATGATTGCAACATGTAGCTACATATTTTTTATTTAAAAAATGGTGATTTTTTTTATAAAAATCTTGTTTTCTTGTCTGGAATGATAGTTGTAGACATGGGTGTGGTTAGCCTTGTTAGACCATCCTGATCTCGCGAGCTTTCAAGATTTTCCTCGCTAATCAGTCTGGAGACTCTCCGTTAAAGAACATTTGGAGCCGTTCACCAAACGAACGTCCAATCAGCGTTGGCTTTGAGGCGGGTTGAGGTGTGACGCAACGAGAAGCGCGACAGTTAAGTCTAAAGAACATGGCGGCTTCAGCCAATGAAACTAGCGTTAGCGTAGCTATCAAGCAAGTTTTATCGGAATTACAGAGTATTTCTTCACTGAAAGAAGAGCAAAACACTGCTCTGGAGGCTTTTCTCAGAGGAAAAGATGTTTTTGCTCTTCTCCCGACTGGTTTCAGCAAGAGTAGCCTGGCTTGTGGTTGTGTTTTCGTCGTCGCTCTGTTAGTACGTCATATGCTTCCCAAAATTACTTCTACGGAAGGTTTCCAGATGGATATGTGGAGCAAATCCATCTGGGGGAGTCAGGTTTAGGGTGTGGTGGGATTAGGACAGGAAAGTTTTACCTCTTTATTTTTTTTCTCAGCCCTCCCCATTCTTATTTAATATAATTTCAACGTAATCATTTATTTAAAAAAAGTACAATTATAGGAAGTTTTTTTTTATATAATAGGGGGGTTAATAAAACAAAAAAAAAATCCATCCATCCATCTCCCCTTTTATCTCCTCTTTCTTTAATCTTTTCTCCTTTTTCCTGTTTTTCCTTTCCTTCTCTACTTACATTGCAGTGTCCATAAATGTAATACTCCCTGCATAATTATAATAAAGCTATTTATATGCATAAATCAATCTGAACAATATGGCAATAAAAAAATCTGCAAAATCTGTTGGGCTCTTTTTGGCATCAAGATAATTATCCTTATTGCCACATCGCCAGACACGACACTGTAAATAATAATAAAAAAAAAACATACATAAACCACTGGAGGAAAGGGACAAGAAACAAAAATAAATCAAAACAACTTTGTGATGCTTTACTGTTTCACCCTGTAAACCCTCTTGTGTGAAAAGTGTTCCAGAGTTTAATCAAAGCGCCCAGAGTTCCTCTAATTAGCAGCAGGGTTCTGTTTTACGAGCGTTTCTTTATCCTCCTCCACAGCGGGCTCATGAAGCCGGGTCTGAACGCCATCATGGGAGCAACAGGAAGCGGAAAGTCATCGTAAGTTCTTTACATTCCCCTGATTTTTTTTTTCCCCTTCTTTTTTTTCTTACTTAAGTGTTTTTCCATTCAGAGGTTCACTCTTTATGACTTAAAAATGTTTGTCTAATCATTGGATTGTTTGGTTCTACATAAACAAAACATGATTTAGTTCTCATTAACTGCATAAGAAAGCACGTATCTCCCACTTCCTGTTTCCATATTTCCACATGTTGCGTCCTTTATCCTAATTAAAAGATGGATATGAAACAAACCAGTTCATATCTTGATATATTTTCTATACATTTATGCACATTTTTAAGTGTTTTTTTCCTAAGCTTACAAATTCAAACCTATATTTATTTTCTCCAACTGTTTCTCCATCAGATTCCTGGATGTTCTGGCAGCCAGAAAAGATCCCGCCGGTCTGTCAGGAGAAGTCCTGATCGATGGAGCTCCTCAGCCTCCCAACTTCAAGTGTCTTTCTGGTTATGTGGTGCAGGTAGGTGAAAGCAGGCAGGAAGCCCACACAGAATGTTATTTTCTTCTTTCCAGGGATGTTTGCTGGAAGGGAAGGAAGAGACCGCCTGCAACAATAAGACCTGCTGCTGCAGCCGAGCTGCTTCAGCAGCATCAGATAAACTCTTTCAGAAACCCAGAGTCCCAGCAGAGGAAGTTTGATTCAATGTGAACAGAAATGATGGAAATAACGGCGCATCTAGCCGCACCTCATTGAGTTTTTGTAAGCAGTGGCTTCCTGTCTGCAGGACGACCTGGTGATGGGAACGCTGACGGTCAGAGAGAACTTCACCTTCTCAGCCGCGCTGCGTCTCCCGTCCTCCATCTCCCAGAAGGAGAAGGAGCAGAGGGTGGAAAAGCTGATCCAGGAGCTGGGACTGGGACGAGTGGCCAACTCCAGGGTGAGGAGAACAAAACTCCAACCAGGAAGTTATAATGTTAATACACTGCAAAAATTATCTATATATAAGTCAAGAAGGTCTTAAATTAAGTATATTTGCCCATAATTTGAGTAGGTAAATGAGCTAGTTTGCCAATGAAATGAGTAATTTTACTCTTAAAATAAGATAATTAGATAATATGCCCTTGAAATAAGACAATGCAATTGTGTTTTCTTATTTTAAGTGTAAATTGTCTTGTTCCATTGGCAAAATGTCTCTTTTACCTCTTCAATTCAAGAACATTTGCACTTATTTTAAGAAAAAAGGACTTATCTAGATTTAGATTTTTTGCAGTGTATAATAATAAGCATATGTATGATGTGCAGTTGTTATGATGTATTATAAACAGTGAATGGTCCACTGCTAAGGTTCAGAATCTCGAAGCTAAATCATGAATGACAATCTCAATTAGCTGGAATATCTTAATGAGATGGGGTCAGTTCTTAAAACAGGTTAATATGGATTGTCTTATTGTCTTGAAACAAGTAAAAATGTACTCACAGTCTAAATGTTAACGCGACTTAGTCTGCAATGTGTGCTATTTTAGGAGAAAAACTGCTCAGAATTAGTTTTATTATCTAGTTAGGATGAAAAAAATAAATTTTCTTAAAACAAGTCAAATAATCTTAACAATATTTAGTCTTACTAAGAAAATACATTTAAAAACAAGTGTAAAAAGACCAAAATGCTTAATTTAAGTTTATTACACTTGTATAGATTTTCCTTTTTTGCAGTGTAGAGCAGACAGTAACTAAACATGTTGGCTTTTAAAGCAAATTAAAGGCAGTGAGACAAAGGTAGAACACCTTAGAGCTGTAAAGTCTTGCTGTGTCTCAGGTGGGAACTCAGCTGATCCGAGGAATCTCTGGAGGAGAGAGGAAGAGGACGAACATCGGCATGGAGCTGATCATCGACCCGTCCGTCCTCTTCCTGGATGAACCCACCACAGGCCTGGACGCCAGCACGGCTAACTCTGTGCTGCTGCTGCTAAAGAGGTGAAGGGCGTCTCGTTCGCACTAACTGTAGAAAAACCCCAACCGGTCAGGGTCAGAGGAACGGCTTCTGGCTCAGAAATAACCTTTTATCACTTTAACTTTAAAAAGAAAATGTAAAATCAAAGAAAAACTGTCTTCATTTTAAGCAAGAAAGGAGCACATTACAGTGTTTGATTAAAGGACACGATGGAGTTTTATCATGTTGACGATTTATGTCTAAGCATCTACGCTATAAAAAATTATTCACCCAAATTTAAAGATGTTGATCATTTTATTACATAAATTGTCATTTACTTTTATAACATCAAGGTCAGTCTAATTATTATACAATTCAAAGAATAAACTCGATGTTTTTGGAATAAATGCACTAATTAGGTAGCCTAACTAGCCCCACCCTCCAGTGTCCAAAATAATTTTTGCCTGCTAGTGGGTCTCGCTTCGATCAATGCTCCAGGCCCTAGAACTGGTTGGCCAATCACAACGCAGAGATTTGTTTTGGATTTCTAGATGCAAAGCGGGCGGGGTTTTTAGGGTGTGACGACAAAGCTGTGCGGAGCTGGAGAAAGCACAACAAGGAAGATGGCAACAACTAATGAACAGTTATCGTTTGACCCAGCTTTGGAATCACTTTTGGAAGGATTAGACTTGGGATTTTCGTTAAAACGTGAGCAGGAAGAGGCTCTATTGTCTCTCATTGGTCAGAGCGTTGGCCAATAGGCACAGACATGGTTTGAAAAACAACAGGTTTTTCTCATCAACAATTTTCCGATGTCTCATTCATCGGTTCCAGACTAAATTACACATTTAATCTCACATTTAGTCTGGTTCATCAGGCTAGTAATTTGTATTAATTTTGAATTATTATACTTCATTAATTCTAAATACATACAGTGGAAAAATCAAAATTTAGATAAGTCATTATTTCTTAAAATAAGAGCATTTGTTCTTGAATTAAGAAGCTAAAAGAGGATTTTGCCAATCGATCAAGACAATGTAGATTTAAAATAAGAAAACACAATTTTATTGTCTTATTTCAAGTGCCATGTTATCTAATTATCTCATTTTAAGAGTAAAAATACTCATTCCATTGGCAAACTACCTCATTTACCTACTCAAATTAAGGGTAAATACACTTAATTTAAAACATTTGAACTGATTTCTATATCGTTTTTCCAGTGTAACCTGACACTGCTGTATTTTACACTAATAAGCTTTATAAAAATTCATTAATCATTCAATGGCTTTGTGTTAAAATGATCTAAAAATAGTAAATGGGATTTTTTTTTATGTAATACAATTAGGGTGAAATATTTTTCTGAGTGAACATCTTTATGAAACACTGAAGGACTTTATTCATTTCTATTGTTCTAGAGATATTGTCTTATTTACAGGAGCCCATTTAACTAGAATCCATCCAACCATTGATCCTCTTCCATGTATTCAAAGTTGATCATTGGGCAGCTTATCTAAGAGTCAAACTTTTTTTCCAAAGTTTAGGACAGATTTCTTCATTAAAAGAACAGAAAATGGTGACCCCTACAGGACAAGAGGAGTTCTAAGTTTTGTTTGTTATTCTGCAACCTTTGACCCCAGAGCTAAGTGGCTTTTTGGACTTCCCATGAAAGTTCTCCCTGACATTAACTGAAACTAATAAATAAAAAACTCATGCAGGGTTCTCATCAGCACATTTCAGCTGAACACTGAAAGTCGTCATCGCTGCGCTGCAATTAGGCAGAAATGATTATGTTTTATGATCAGCCCATTATCTGACATCAGTGCTCCTTCCCTCAGGGTTCTGTCCAGCACATTTCAGTGCAGCGGCTGGCTACACTTAAAGCTGTGAAAATTACTTTACCATTAGGCTGGTACGCTGAAATTTAATGAATGTTCAGGTGTGAAATCCATGTTTTTAAACACATTTGCCTCATTATTTGCACACAGACATGATTTTGATCTGTGAATATGTGGACCACCTGCTTTTTTAGGTAAAGAAGATAAAAAAAAAAAAGGTTTCAGATTTGCACCGATACACTCTTAAAAAATCCTGGTGAGAACCCTGTTATGATTTTATAAAATTAATAATTAAAAACAAATTCAGGGTTGCAATTCCACAGCCAAGTAAGCATAAACTTGATATTTGTTTAGATCTAGTTTTCCTGTCATTCGTTTGCAGACTATACACTTTTTTGTTGATTTTTCAACAAGTAACATGTTGAGTTAATTTATCCATTCTTATTTTACTACAGACAATGTATCTTTTTAACTTTTGAACCTTAAGATAGAGGTTAAATGGTGGTTCCTTAGTAAAGTGGAATCTGCACACAGCGCAGTATACTGTAATTAGAGTTACATGGTACTGTAATAAAATACAGTAAATGTGGAAGCTATCCGTTTCATTTCATTTTTCTCTTTGAAAAACCTCACAAATGGCATTTAGACGATATTCTGCATAAAAAATAAGTGAAATAATGGTAAATTCAGATTCAAAATTGGCTCTGTACCACCGTGAGCACTATAAGCGGATTCCAGTGTAGTAACAATAGTAGCTTGTTTAAAAAGATCATGAGGCATTTGCAGCTCTAAAGCTTTATTTACCTGAACTCAAGTCAAAATGTCTCAATGACTCATCGTTTATTAACAATAAACTTTAACTGTTATTATAACTGTAATATTATTATAGGATGGCGAACCACGGCCGCACCATCATCCTGTCCATCCATCAGCCCAGATACAGCATCTACCGCCTGTTTGACAGCCTCACCCTGCTGGTCAACGGCAAACAGGTCAGCTACTCAAACACATCAGGCAGCCCAGATGTTGAATAAAACAACCTGCTAACTCTGTTTTATGGTGAAATGTAAACATGCAGGTTTACCACGGCCCGGCACCCAGAGCGCTGGATTATTTCTCTGACATCGGTAAGAAAGTGGAGCAAAAGTGGAATCTGATTCAATGCAGCAAGGGGGTCCTTAGATCCGTTTGGGGGTTTTCTCTTCCAGGATACAGATGTGAGGCTCACAACAACCCCGCCGACTTCTTCCTGGACGTCATCAACGGAGACTCCACCGCCGTCGCCCTCAACAGCCTGGAGGGAGGAGGTAGGTGGCTTGCTTGATATTATGTCTTAGATCTTTGATTTTTATTTTTTATTTTTCTCAAGTAGAATTGGAGACAGAGCAGAGCAACTTTTCTCAAAATGTTTTCTCTCAGAACAGGAATGACTGATAAAAAGGGAAAAGATGGTGGATGTTTTTTGACAGTGGCGGCTGGCCAATAGAGGGCTCTAGAGCGCCGTCCCCCCACCCAGTGACCCTATTTAAGACATAAATATTTTATATATATAACATTTAACAATATTTTAAATCCATTTAGAATATTTTGAAATATATTAATATGTATTTCTTAGATGTGCAAGATAAATATTTTATCTTTAATAATTAGTAAAGCGTCATTCAGTTTTTCGTCGGATTAGTGACGTATTTCCGCCCTGTGGCACAAAAAAATTTGCTCGTTGACTCTCGTTAAAATGTGTCTATGCCCAGTAGCTCCTCTGCAATCAAAGTGTAATTGCTCACCAGCTCCTGCCATAGCGCAGACGTTTGGCGGGTGATTGACAAGTCGAGTCGCTGGAGTTGGAGATTGAGATTGAGAGATTGGAGACAGAGAAAAATGGAGCAAGAAGTGTCTTTTTCCAGGACCTGATTTAGCAAGAAGGCTTGGCTAACTGCATTTAGCGAGGCTAACACTGTGGTCTGCCTTTTTCAAACGTCAGGGTTGGACAGATCTGAGCATGGATAAAGACTGACTGATTTTGAATGAATTTTGAATTCAATTTGAGTGAATTTCTCCGCTGTGAGATCAATAAAGCTCATCTAATCTAATCTTAAAGCACTTTTTAGAAAAGGCAAAGAAGAATGAACGATCTGGGATTCACATAATATAATAATATTATAATAATATAATGCACTTTTTCAAGATGTTTGTTCATTTGTTGCTCTTAAATAAACACATTCTCAGAAAATAAATAGTATTTTATATGTTAAAAAATATAATGCTGACTAATAGCTTCTCCCTTATTAAATTAGGTTTGTGACACAACATCAGACCATGCAAAACACAGGTTTGCCTTCACAAAGCCTCAGAAGGGCAACATTTATGTACAAAAAGTAAACATGTTGATGAAGATTCTCAGTCATCCAGGTCATAGTCATTCCGTAAAAGTTTTGGTTTCCAAGATTTGAAGATGTTTTGGACATTTGAATTGAGAAAGCTTCCTGGAAATGTGGCGAAATGTCTTCAAATCTTGGAAACCAAGTCCAGTGGATATTTTTTGAACTTTTACGGAAAAAGTAAACCTGTACATCAAATTATGTTTTTGTTTGTATAAAGTGTTTTTATAATGTTTTTTGTTGTTGGCATTCATATAAATATACAGGTGAGTGATAGCTTTGATTGGTTTTTGGTATACGTCTTATTTTGAATTTATAGCCCCCCCTCACCCACAGAAAACCACTGGTTGTTGATTTGATTTTGTTCCAGAGAACTAATGAGCTCAGTCCCATTCAGCACTGCAAAAACAATCTAAAAATTAGTAAAAATGTCTTAAATTAAGTCAATTTAATGCTTAATTTGAACAGGTAAATAAGATGACTTGCCAATGGAATGAGTATTTTTACCCTTAAAATAAGATAATTAGATAATATGCACTTGAAATAAGACAAAATAATTGCTTTTTTCGTATTTTAAGTATTAATTGTCGTGTTCTATTGGCAAAGGGTCTCATTTACCTCCTTAATTCAAGAAAATACACACTTATTTTAAGAAAAAAATGACTTATTGAGATTCAAATGTTTGCAGTGAGCACATTTAAGACGTAGCCATCTTTAATAAATGTTCTTTCTCTAGATGGCGATTCCCAGCAGGACGATGAGTCGGTGTCCAAGACGAGAAAAGGAATCGAGGACAAACTGGTGGAGGAGTATAGAAACTGCGAGCACTACAAACAAACCAAAGATGAGCTGGGTAGGTATAAACCTATAAACACTTCCATCTTTATGAATTCATTTTATTTTTACTTCATCTCCAATGAATCATTTCCTGGAGACCATATTAGTTGGACACAGACAGAGGACACTGGTCAACACGGGACTGTTAAAGCCGTTTTTATATCTGGCCACTTTGGAATCATCAAATCTTTTAATTACTTTACTTTAGATTACTTTATTTCATCATTTAATTAACTTCTCTGGTATAAAAGTTTGCTCCCATTTATTTGACCTTTTTTCACTTTTTATACAACTGCATACAGCCTGAATATTTACCCAGATTTACAAACAATGTTATTATTTTTGTAAATTAGATGTTAGATTTCATAGGAATTATTTGATTTAACTAGAAATAATTATCAGATTAATCGTGATTAATCAATTAATTTATGTCAACTAGTTTAATAATCTATTAATCTTAAACTGGAGTATAAAGACTGTAAAACAAGCCTTTAGATGATAGGCTGACCCCAGACCAACCGACAGAGCAGTAATTATATTAAATTTGTAAAATATATATATATATATATATATATATATATATACATATATATAAACATTTTGCATTTAAGATAATAATAAAAAAAATGTTGTCTGTCAATATTCTCCATCCAGAACTCCACAAGAGGGAAAGTTTTTGTTTCACCATGTTTAATTTAGTAAAAACTCTTCTCTAATGAACCTTTGGCTATCTGATTATTAATTGATTAATCGAAAACATAATCGACTTGCAAAATAATCGTTAGTTGCAGCCCTCCTTTTAACATTAGCTGCAATATTTAGGATAGATTTAGGTATGTAGCTAATTAGCAACACCAGGCACCTAGGGAACAACACAACTTTCAATATCCCAACGTTAACTATTATTGTTGTTTTTCTCAGACAAAATCTACTATTTAGTCTAAAGGTACGTTTTTGAACAGGCTTCAGCTTTTTACCATCATAGTGTTTCAAATGGTTTAAATTTTGCTGAAAATCATCCTGCTACAGTTCAAGGAGATAGTAGGCCTTTCTTTGTAATGAGAAAACTGTATTGGAAAATGAACAATGTTAGAAAGTTAGAAATGTTAGAAGAAACACGTTTTTACAGTTATTAGGTTTTCATTATTAAAGTGTTTCAGGTTTAGCAGAATTCCTGCTTCTTTGCTGCATTTTCTTATTAGCTGCTAAAACATTTGTTGTAGGGCTGAAACAATTAATTGAATTATTGAAATAATTTTCAACTAATTTAGTAATCCATTAATCGTTAACTGGAATAAAGACACTATAAAACCTGTCTTTAGCTGACAGAGCGACCCACTTAGAGCAAGAATTTTATCAAAATTTAAAAACCTAAATTAACATTTAGCATTTAAGATGAAAAAAAAAAGTTTTTGTCTGTCAGTAAGCTTTATCTCGAACTCTTTAAGTGGAAAGGTTTTAGTTTCACCTGGTTTCATTTTGTTTTCTTTAAGGAACCTTTGGCTATCCAATTGTTAATTGATAAATTGAAAAAATAATCAACAGATTAATCAATTTGCAAAATAATCATTAGTTGCAGCACTAATTTGTTGAAATAACAGGTAGGGCTTAGAGATTTGTTTTTGGCAGTCGTTTCAGATTAAGTTTAATATTGAAAAATCAGTCTGTCATCATTGTTTGACATTATATGATCAATTATTAATTCATCATTATTCTATTTCTAATTTTAAATTAGCATTCACTAGAATTTTACACAATAGAAACAAAACATTTAACAGATATATTCTACAGTCACTGTTTAGTTGTGCATATTACTAACTTCACTAATCTCTTTTGCTTAATTGCTTAGTGAAGCTTAAAAGCTTCAAACAAGAAATCCGCAATAACTTCAGGAATTTTGGTCAGATTTCC